GTCCATTTTCCAAAATAGCATGTATTGTATAAAGTTGTGCATAGTTATTCGGACAAGACCCAAAAGTCCCATCCATACAAAGGTAAATTATTTTTCTGTTTTTCAATTCTTCTGTTTTTTTGTTAGAAATCATAATAAATACATCATCTTCATCACTAACATAGTATTCACCACTTTCCAAAAGTTCCATTAAATCACTTTCGACCATTTTTGATTTGATTAAATTTATTGTACGCCGTATTGATGTTTGTCTCCGTTTGTCCATAGGATTAATTTAGTTGTATTGCTCGAGTAGCTTTGTTCCAGACAGTGTAACATTTGATCCACTCGCCACAAGTTTTCTGATTTGGTCATCGCTTTTTTCTTTTTTGTTGGGAAGATGTGGGTGGTGAATACAACATTTATCACAAAACTTATAATCAACAAATTTAAAAGACTCTTCACTTCCTTCAGTTAAAATTACCTCAATTTTCACTTTACAGAAAGGGCACTTGTAATATTTTCTTGAACCATTTTGGGGGTGAAAAACGTATCCATCGATAACAGGTAAAAAGAAATAAGTTTTCTTTTTTTGTTGGTTTTTGACTGGTAATCTGTGTAATGGGAGGATGGTACTGTTCACATAAATATACATCATCATTTTCATTTTCATTTTTTGATGTTTGGATTGTAATTTTTAATTTCTCAACATTTTTTGTGTTTCTTTAGTCGATATAACTTCTTCTGGTATTGATGTGACAATATTTGTTGAATTTGTTTTGTATGGAATTGGGACACAAAAAGAACCACTCTGTGTATTTATAACTTTTGACTCAAAAGTGTGTGGAGTTAACTGTTGATTTGATAGATCATTAAATGGACATGTATTTTGATCAAACAGTGTTTGAATTGGTGTATTTTGTATTAAATTATGAGTAAACCCAAATATAGGTAAGCGTGCTTGAATTTGTTGAATATAACAATTTTTGAAATATTCTGCTGGTATTGTACTCAATTGAGAAATTATATTTTGGTCAAATTGTCCAAACTGACTATCATATCTCCTTGAAAAATAATTTGTTTGATCATGATATCTAATATGTTGTGGCGCAACGTTGATGTCATTTAAAGGAATACAACTTTGTTGATGCCAAACACTTGGTACATTGTAATTACATACATTGTTAATCTGTGGATGTGTTATTGAAAATGGGTGGTTAAATATGTTAGCCATATAATATGTGTAAATATTTAGATGTATATTAAATATTAAAAAATATTGAAAAATTAAATTTGAACTAATATTGTGGAATTTATATCTATTCAATTTATATACTTTTCTGCATTTTATACATCTTTTTTCATTTTGTGTTTAATATCGTCTTTTAAAAACAATATTCTGGCCAATAATAATTGTTTGCCGAGTCTAGTTATAAAAAATTTCAAATGTTTTCATGTATAATTATAAAAAAAGGAATTAAAAGCCCGAACAAATAATTTGAATCAAAATTTACATTAAAATTTAACTTTAATTTTAAACAACAATGAATGAAATAATTTTTATTAAAGATTTAATAACAAATATATACATATATTAGAAGCTTGTGGAAAAAAATATTTGGAATATTATTTATTGGAATATTATTATACAGATTATTGTATCACCCAATCGATGAACACATCACCGCCGACCGCCGCGAACGTTAAGTTTGGCAATGTAGTTATGTTCCCTTTCCCGACAGTCGTCGTTTTAAACGCAAACAACTTCGTCCTGTTCTGTCAGAATTTCACGGACATGACGTGGCTTGGAAGAATAGCACGT